CCCCTTACTCATTACCTGACCTTGGCCAATTAACTTCTCTGATCCTCAATTTCCTCATCTGCAAAATGGAAGTATCTCCCTCATGGTGTTGCTGGGGAGAGAAAAAGGCATGTCCATTTCTTAGCCGAGAGCCTGGCACATCGCGCACAGTGGCCTCCACGGAGGAGGGCTGCGTGGCAACAGCAGCAGTGGCCACGGCGAAGACAGGGTTCCAGCAGATGTCAAAGAGCTTCTGCACAGCAACAGCTGAGTTGGCTCCTGGTGACTCGTCACACCCCTCCTCCAGCAGGTAGGGCCTCAGGAGCCCTCGCTGCTGGAGGAGGTTTTTAATTGGCCGCATTGCCCCAAGCACACAGGAAGGCCACCCACACTTACCACACTGCCGGCACCACTCGCGTAACCATTAACCAAGCTGGCCCTCGCTGGCCCTGGGAAACAGGCAAAGGTTATCTCTGGAGTTATGGCGTCACCTTCCCAACCCTGGCCCTGGCACCCTGAGGCTTTAAGCCAAGCTCTAGTCAGCTGGGACCCCAGTTGCCTTGTCCCCTCCCCTCCCCCTCTCAAACCCACATGATACTCCCAGACCATTGCTTTTACCTTTTTCTGTGTCAACATTTGCCATTTCAGGTTATAGGACCTTAAAGTTTAGTAATAATAATGGTAAAATATAATAATAAAAGCGTACATGTATCGTGTGCTTACTATGATCCATAGATCAGTTTATTCAATCCCCATAGGCTGGGTGGAACTGTCAGCCCCATTAGCCACAGATGAAGATACTGAGACTCGGAAACACAGATTATAAGTTGCAGAGCGGGTCCCTGACATGAGGAATGTTTGAACTTGGAGCCCAGGCTGATTCTGCGGTTGGACGCTGCCTTTCCATGAGGAATCCGCAGGAGTGGGAGTGTTGGAGAGCCAGGAGGGTGGAAGAGCTGCTGGGGGACAAGGCGTTTGGCTGATCCTCACGTCGCCCTGGAGAGGGAGCTCTCTACTTCCCGCTTCCCTCTAGACCTTGACCCGGCATCACCACGGCCCAATGGTCAGCGTCGCTCTGAATCTTGGAAATGAGGTATCATGCTTTCTAAAACACACTTTCTTAAAAGATGGACTTTTAAAAAATGTTTCGGTGACCACGCTCTTTATCCCAACAGTCCCGTTTCTGAAATTTCACTTGCACGTATGTGAACGGACACGTTTACAAGGGCACACACTGTGTGTCACGGCGAAAATCTGGAGGCAACCCCAGTGTCTATCACTGGGGAATGGTTCAATAAATTGTGCAATATGTATATGACGAAATGCTTGCAGCCACAAAAAAAATAGAAAGGAAGCTCTGTCTGCAGAACAGGAATGGATCTGTAGGCTGTGGATCTCTGCAACATATTGCTAAATAAAAAAAGAACAGCTTGTATGTTACACTGCCACTGATGTCAAATATGGGGAGGGAGGCGGCTAAACACAAGTGTTTCTTACAGATACATGGGGACCTCTAGAAGGACGTATAAGAAACCAGTGTTCTCGGTGGCTTTCAGAAAGGGACGTAGGTGGCTGGGAGACAGAAGGGGGACAGGGACTTCTTGCTCTATTCTATTATGTACCTCCTCAATGTGGGCACCTCTACTAAAGCAAATGTAATTATATAAATACACACACACATAAATAACCATAAGGGAATGTCGCAATACATCAATAAAGTCACTGGATATGGCATCAGAGACCTTGAATTGGGTTTTTGTTTCTCACACCTTGGACTTAAAGCTACTTGGTGTTCTGAATCCGAATTTTCTCAATGGTAAGGAGTCGGGTGGGGATAGTGATAGCTACTCCTGGGGGTGTTCAGAGGATTAAGAGGCAAAATGTATTTGATTCTTCATTCCCCAGGTATTTGTCAGGCCCCCACTCTGGGCCAGGCCCTGGGCTCGATACGGCATGTTTGCAAGCAGGTCCGGCAGCTGCGCTCCCCGGTCACGCATCCCAGGATTCCAGTCTAGCAGGAAAGACAGACGTGAAGTCAGTACACAGCTATGCAGTCGCCTGTTGTCATAATGCTGCGGCAGGACAGAACCGGCTCTGAGGGAGAGACTGGAGGGGTCCCAGGAGGCCTTGCTGAGGTAGCGGCACCTACGCTCAGGCCCGCTGGCATCCAGTGGGCCTAGTCAGAGGGAGCAATGCTGCAGGTGAGAGTGCTCAGATAAACTTGGAGAGTTCAAAACAAAAGATAACCAAACCGGCTGCGGGAAGAGCTGGAGGCTGAGGAGAAATAAAAACATCCTGAGCCTCCAGGGACCACTGGAGGGACCTAGGGGAGCCTTCCAGGTGCAGAGGAAGCCACAGTCTGACCCATCCGAGGCAATGTCGTGCAGCAGCTAAGAAAGCAGGCTCAGACAACTCCTTCAAATCTCTCTCCCACTCCCTGGCTACGTGCCCTGGGGCAGCCCTATGCCTCTGGAAAAGGGGGCAAATAGTGCCTCTGGTACCACGTGTGAGGGCCAGTGCGCCCCAGGAAGGACTGTTAGTGCAAGGCCTGCCGCTTCTATAGCTGCAGTGCATTCCTGAAAAACCGTCCTAGAACAAGGGTGAGCAAAGCGACCAAATCCTGCCTGCCTCCAATTTCTGTGCTGTCTGCAAGCTAGGAATAATTTTAACATTTTAAAATTGATTTAAAAAACACAAGAAGAATATGAGAAGGGACCCACCCCCCAAAAACCGGAATTACCTTCTGGAGGGTGGGCCCTTGTAGACAAGGTGCCCCACCCCCACAGGTGAGTGTTCTAGGAACCCATCTGTACCGCTGTGGCAGCTGGCATTGTCAGAGGCTGTTGTGTTTGGCTTCACTGCATTTTTTTCTGAAGACTCTTTCAACACATTTGCCCATTTCAAGATGGATGATTTACAAGCGCACCTGCCCTCACCGTTGCTGGGTGATCAGCAGTTTCTGACCAAAAATGGCATGACCCCCATGGCCCCCCCTCCCTATTCACCGGATCTTGACCTGAGCAACTTTTTTTTTGTTTCCCTGGATGAAAAAACTCGTCAAAACGAAACATTTTGCCAATGTGCGAGAGGTGAAACAAACAACAGCAGAAGCACTAAAACGCATCAAAATCCATGAGTTCAGAAACTGCTTCAAGCAGTGGGAAAAACCTCTTGATGGGTGTATTGCATCAAATAGAATGTACTTTGAAGGTGTCTGAAGTTTAAACATGTAAGAAAAAACACACAACTTTTTATAAATAAATTCTGTGTTTTGGGGATTCCCCTGCCTATTTCATGACACATGAAAATTGCATGCAATTTCATTTCTATCCCCCACAAATAAAGTTTTATCGAGACAGCCATCCCCATTCATTTACGTATTGTCTATGGCCACTTCTGTGCTGCAACAGTGTAAGTCAGCAGCCGAAACAGACACCTATGACGTGCAAAGCCAAAGATATTTCCTATCTGGCCCTTTACAGAAAAAATGTGCAACAGAACAGGGACTTGAAGCTCCCGAGGATACAAGAAGGAAGACCAGTGAGAAGGCTTTTGTAAAGTCGGAGTAAAACATAACAACCGTGAAGTGCTGGCTGGGTAGCTCAGTGCTCAGAGCACCCTGCCAATACCCCGAGGCTGTGAATTTGACTCCTGGTGTGGGCACATACAAGATTCAACCAATGAACGCACAAATGGGTGGAACAACAACTGATGTTTCTCTCCCTCTCTTTCTCTCTCCCCCACCCCCACTCTCCCTTCTTCTCTAAAAATCAATAAATTAAAAAAAAGAGACAGGTAACAGTGAAAAGGGTGAGAAGGAGAGAGCTGGGAGAGTGATTCTGTAGCAATGCTTCCGAAAACTAGGAAGGGCTTACCAATGTGGGGCTTTCCAGTATTTTCTGCATTGAACATGGTGGTGACTACTTCTGTCCATCAGCGGTAAGAGGCTCTTGTGGTTTTGACATCAGCTCTGACATTCTATCATTTGGGCACGGTTTATGGTAATGGCAGAGGATGGTTTTAGACTCCAGGAGATAGACAGGCTAATGGTGTCTCAGTAATGTTGGCATTCTCTGAGCAAGCCCAGTGCTGGGTATATAAATAGAAGCCAACGGTCACTGGGAAGTATTCCTGGGGCTGAGGTCATCCTCCCCTAATGCTGTCACGGCAGGCCCCAGGCGAGTATCGGGTGTACACCTGTGCCCCACAACTAGGTCAAGTCTGGAGAACATGGTGGAGTTGAGAGGAGCCAGAAAGTTGGCTGGAGAATAACACCTGTGAAAAGGATAAAGCAACCAGGATGACTCAATCACGGCAGGTAACCTGTATTAGGCTTGTACAATGCCCGAGGAATTGCTATGAGCTCTTCCCATGAATTGTTTCATTCAATCTTCACAATCAAAATTGCACGGTAGCTACTATCTCTATTTTACAGATGAGAACAAAGAGACACAGAACCTGCCCACAGAGGCCCAGTTTGGAGGTGGAGGGAGGTGGACTCAGGGTTCCATTCAGGGGACCTGAGTCCAGAACTCCTGGACTCGGCCACCATGCTTCCCTCTCTATTCTAGTCCTCAGTGAAGACTTGGGTCGTTTAGACCAACACGCAGGTCCCTTTGGTCATTTCCCTTCACAACTCTCAGGGATTGAAGTATTTTGTCTACAAGGCAGCATTTACTATGTAATGATCAGGCCATCATTTGTTTGCACAATGCCCCCCCAACACACACACACACACACACACACACACAAAACACAGTCTCATCGAGGCCAAGTTAGGGTTTCCAATGTTCTGTTTACAGCCTGCAGGTAACTCTCACAGCACCCAGATCCACCCCCGTGGCCTCTAGATGGGGACCCACAGCCTAGACACCTAGACTGTCCAGCCCTCTCGGACATATGCACTTAAAGCTCAACCGAGTGGCATGGGCATGACTGTGGGCATCAGGAACCGCAAGTCAGACATAATGTCAACAACAACAGTAACTGTAGCTACCATTTATTGTCATCTATGTGCCTTCCATTTAATCCTCTCAACAACCTGTGGTTGAAGTGCCTTGGGGGGTATTGTCTTCCTTCTCTTTCCCAAAGGAAGGAGAGAGCCACAGAGTTGAAGTCCTTGCCACAGAGTTGAAGTCCTTGCCACAGATCCTCAGAGAGAAAACATCTGAGTCAGTACTCACACGCAGGACTGCCTGACTCTGAAGCCCTGCCGCTAACTTCTTGGCCACACTGACGCGGTTGAGGAATTAATCAGCAACATCCTAGGAACAACTCGATTCAGTAGATATTTATTGATTACATACTATATGCTCAGTATGAAGACTTACAGAGGTAATAAAACAGAAATGGTCCCTGCCTCGCAGAACTTAGAGTTCAAAGAGGTAACTACAGAATGTATTCATTCAACAAACATTTGTTGAGAGTCTGTAAGCCAGAGCCAGGCACACTTCCAGGTGTGTGAGGATGCAGCAGTGGCCACAAAAGATGAGGATGCTCCTCGTAATGTTGGGACCTTCCTTTTTTAATTTTATTTTTTTTTTAAATTATATATCATATTTTTGAAATCAACTAAGAAGGTATCATAAAGGAACATTACATTTTAAGACAACAGAGCAAAAAATAAAAAGACATTTTATAATTTTGCCCCAATCCTTAACTGTTATTATTTGCAACTTAACTAACCTTGATTTTATTTCCAGACCCGTGTAGATGCTTACTTTTTTAAATGTATGTTTCAATTACAGTGGACATATAATATCATATTAGCTCCAGGGGCACAACAGAGGGACTAGACATTTATACACCTTACAAAGTGATCACTCCGGGGAGTTCAGTACCCACCTGGCACCGTCCAGAGTTCTGACTGCACTGTAGACAGGGAGTGGATGAGTTTGAAGGAGAAACCGGAGCCCCGCACTCAGTCCCAGCCCTCCAGGGAGCCATCCAGCTGTCAGTGGGAATCTTGCCCCCCGAGGGGGCAGTCACCTACCCAGGCACTTCCCGGAGTCATGTACCAGGAGGCAGTCCGAGGGGGCTGGCCGGTTCATAGCACTGTCCATCGTAAGTGTCATGGGGTTCACAAAGTACTCCGAAGGAGATGAGTTTCCACTCACCTGCATTTAAAGAGCAACTATGTTGGCGGGCAACCTTCTGTCATAGGGGAGGGGCAGCAGACAGGGTGTTAAAGGGAAGGCTATGATGTTAAGTGTCTGCTCCAAAATGTGTGGGAACAAGGGAGGGTTGATTGTTTTTTGTTTTTGTTTTTGTTTTTTTTTTACTTAAGTGCCTTAGAACTGGAAGGAGAAAGGAAACACATGGTTAGAAAATTTCAAATGAACCAACGACGGGTGTCCCGTCCACAGTCCAAGGAAGGGCGATACCAGCACACCGAAGAGCTTGTGGCATCTGCTTGGAGCGTCCTTGCGATGGGCACGTTGCCAGGAGGACACGTTCTGTTAGATTCTGGGTTAGGGTGTAGGTAGCAAGCACCTTGAATTTATGAGCCCAAGTGACTGTCCCCTTCAGGCAGAGGTTGAGACCTCCGAGGACACCTGGTTCTGGGTGCACCCAGACAGCACAGGTGCACCCAGAACCAGAAAAGGAAAGAAAGAAATTGGGTGCATGCCAATCACAGAAAAGCAAATTAAAGGGCAGGTGCTCCTGCCATAGGACACTCAAGCCGGTGCTTTATAAATGGTTGAAGGTGGAAACCCTGATGTGCTCTAGGCCCATCGTTCCTGCATTTGCAGTAGAGAAACAGAGGCCCAGAGAGCTGACGTGAATCACCCAAGGACACGCAGCAGGATGCTTCTGACTCTTTCCTCAGTGTTGTCGTCACAGCTACCACCCTTGAAGTTTCATACTGTCAGGACAGGACTGGGGTTCAAGCTCAGAAGACAAGCTGTGTCCAAGACGGCAGATGGGAATGTTTCCTTGATTTCTCTAAAAGAGAAATGAATCGTGACCCTTTAAAGATTCAGAGTATATCAAAGGCAGGTCTTCCAGCCAGGATGTCCCCCCCCCCCCGTACCTAGTTCCTTCCTAAGGACGGCTGAGACCTTTATAAGGTGATAGGAGGATAGTCACCATCCTACAGGAGGGAAGTGCTCACGATAAACCTCTAGAAATGGCCTTAAAATTCCACCATTTAGGACTTCCACCTTGGGGAAGGTGGAGCAGACATACTTTTCTCCATTTCTTCTGCTAGGTACAACAAAAATCTCTGCACAATTTAAGTAAGACAAACACAGAAAGGCACTGAAAAGTGGCAAGAAGGCAGCCCGGTGTGGGAACTCAGGACTGGAGGAACAAGGCAGCAGCGATTCCCCTGGGTTTTCTGTTGCTTCCTATGCCCAAGACTTTGGAGCTGAAGAAACTAGCAACCTGCGAACAGCAACAGGTATAGATAAAAACAGAAAAGCCCCAATAAAATGCTACCAAAGCCTGCTCTCTCTCTCCCCAGAGGAGAGGAAAGGAGCAGCCCACTAGCAAGATAGCAAAGGCTTAGACTGTAACTATCTCCTCGAGCCAAACACCAAGGGAGGTGGGAGGAACCTGTGGTCCAGCCCCATCCACGCCATCAAAGGCCTAAAGGTGAGGAGCCCAGACTTCCACCTTGGTGAAGCTGTGATGAGTCCCCCAATTCGCCACCAGGATGCTGTCAGAGAAGACCAAGGAAGGAGCCAGGACTCTCGTCACCACTGGTCTCAATGGGGGCCATGTGGGAGCCTGGATGTCCATCTTTACCAGACAATAGGCACCTTCTTTTCCTGGAGGGTAGCATCAGAGGAGGCCTAATGGAGACTCGAGGCTTTCAACACAGTCCATTGGTCACAAGATCATCCCCATCACGGTGTCATGGAGAATACATGGGGAGCTGGAATGCCTACCTCTACCCGGCAGTAAAGAAGAGCCCCCCATCTTAGATACCGACAAAGGCCAAGTGGGGAACCTAGACTTCTTCCCTCATCTAGCAGTGAGGGACAAGGCAGAGCCCCTTTTCCTCATGTCAGAGAAAACCAGCTAAAACAGAAGATGCAAATAAATCCAGAGTCTCATGACATAAAAAATGTCCACGTTTCCATCAGAAATGACTTGTCATACTAAGAGCCAGGAAGATCTCGAACTGAGTGAAAAAAAGACAATCAATAATCAAATCGATTACGTTAGAATAGCACAGATTTTAATGCAGCCATGATAAAAACATTTCAATAAGCAAATATGAACATGCTTCAAACAAATGAGTAAACAGAAAACCTCACTAAAGAAATAGAAGATAGAAAGGATAACTAAATGGCAATTTGAGACCTGAAAATTACAATATCCAAAATAAAAGTCTCAGTAGATGGATTCGACAGCATAATGCGGTGGGGGGGGCATTGGAAAGAAGCGGTGAATTCAAATACAGAATGACAGAAATCATCCAATATGAACAACAGAAGAAATAGGACCTCCCCCCCCAAAAAAAAAAAACAGGGCCTCAAGGAACTGATGTGGGACCATCATGGAAGACCGAATGTTTGTGTCACTGGGGTCCCTGAAGGAGAGGAGAAAGATGACAAGGATGAAAGATTATCAGAGAAAGAATGACCATCTCAAATTCTGCAACAAGTACAAAGTATAGACTCAAGGAGCTGGGTGGACCCCAAACAAGGTAATTATGTATTTGAACAACAGAACTGCAAAGTCTTTAAAGCAAACACTAACAGAGTGGAAGGAATAACTAGAAAAATATACACAGTTGAAGATTCCAATAGCCTTCTTTCAACAATTGACTTAAAAAACTGGATGAAAAAATCAGCAAGAATATAACACTCAACAACACCATCAGTCAACAGGATCAAATAAGTATTTATAGAACACTTCCCCCAATAACAACAGAACACACATTCTTTCCAAGTGTCCATGGAACATATACTCAGACTATATGTTGGGCATGAAACAAACTTCAACAAATTTAAAAGAATGGAACTTATATCCAGTGTATCCTCGTAACCATAGCCGAATCCAGCTAGAAATCAGTTACAGCAAAATCTCAAAACCTGTGAAAACTAAACACTAAAATTACATACTGAATTTCATTAAAGTTAAAAATCTCACTTTGTGAAAGACTATACCAAAAGTATGAAAAGCAAGCTTTAGAGTGGGAGAAAATACAGGGTCCAGCACAAATAACGCTTCTTTTTGTTACAAAATCATACGTATGTAATTCTGTAACATAATAATATTGCACTCAAGCACACCATATGGCATTTTAGGTGAAATGTTCAAATTAAAACTACAAATTATTGCACCCATGTTATTACCCTACCCACCACACTCAAGTGGGCGTTACTTCTGCCAGACCCTGTGTTTGCAAACCATCCAGCAAAGGACTGCTATCTAGAATACAGAAAGACCTCTCAAAACTCAATGGTATAAAAGCAAACAATCCAATTAAAAATGGGCAAGAGACATGATGAGACGTTTTACCGAAGAGGCGCTACAGATGGCAAATAAGCACATCAAAAGATGTCAAACATCATTAGCCATCAGGGACATGCAAATTAAAGCCACAAAGAGATACACTACACACGTATCACACTAAAATACAAAATATTTGTATATCCGGTGCCTATGAGGACACAGAAAAACTGGATCACTCATAACATTGCTGGGGGAAATTTAACATTATATAGCCACTCAAGAAAACGGTTCTTTGTGGCAGTTCTTTACAAAACTAAAAATGTACTGATCATATGACCCACTGAGCATACTCCTGGGCATTTATCCCAGTAACAGAAAAGTCTTAGGTTCACACCAAAACCTGTACACAAATATTTATGCCATCTTTATTCATAATAGCCAGAAACAGGAAAAGACCCAGATGTCCTTCAACATGGAGATGACTAAACAAACTAGCACATACATATTGCGGACACTACTCAGGAACAAAAACAAACCGTTGATAGAAGCAGCCACCTGGATGAGTCTCCAGAGAATTTTTCTGAGTGGAAAACACCAAGCCTAAAAGGTCACATGTTACAAGATTCTGGTTATATAAGATTCTTAAAATGCAAAATTATGGGAATTGGGAACAGATTGATGGTTGACAGGGGTTACGAAGGGGATGGGGAGGAGGAGAACAGAGTCAGGATGTAAAGGCGAAAGCTGGGGGAACTTCTGCTCATGAACCTACCATTGTCTCAAAATAAGAATCTTCAGCCCTGGCTGGTGTAGCTCAGTGGATTGAGCACGGGCCTGCGGACCAGACAGTCGCGGTTTGATTCCCAGTCAGGGCACATGCCAGGGTTGCAGGCTGGTTCCCTGCAGGCCAGTTTCCAGCAGGGGACCCAGGAAAGGCAAGCGTGCATTGATGTTTCTCTCCTTCTCTTCCGCTCTAAAGATAAATAGAGAAATAAAACCTTAAAAAAAAGAATCTTCATTTTATAAAGTAACTACAACATAAAAAATAAACTTCAGCTTCATAGAACTAAAAACAAATGTATTTAATTTAAACTGGTGAAATCCTAATGAGGCCTTGTACTAATTAACTAACTACCATTATACCAACATGAACTTCCTCATTTTTAAAAAATGTACTAGTGTTATGTAAGCTATTCTCACTGGAGGAAGGTCGGGAGAAGGGTATATGTGATTTTTCTATATTATTTTTGCAACTTTGGGGGAATCTTAAAGTAATTCAAAATACAACATATTCTAATTTTTCACCTTCAGTCAATCTTGAAAGACCTCAGACAAATTTTGGTCCAGCGCCTGTATACGACCGCTGCGTACACACACACACCATCCTGGAAAGAACACGTTCTTCAAAGAGCGTATTGGTTATAAACCGGAAATCTCAACTCAGGTGTGAAAGACTTACAACTTTCTTAAATTTCTGTAATGCAGCTCCATCTGTATTTTGAGCTCCCATTCATCCAATGAAACAGAAATAATCTCAGGCAATTTGTCTCCCATCCCTTGCTCCTTTTCCTGAAGGGCTGGCCCAAGTTTTGAGAAATGTATAGAGAGCCTGACATCAATGTAGGGGACAGAGAATGGGAGGAGCACCCTCTTATCTTCAGGGTCATCTGTCCTCACTGCCCTCTTCTGAGGATCCATCATCCCATCATCCCTCAGTCATTGGTTCACAGCAGCTGCTGCTCAGACATCCCTGGCCCCACCTGCAAGACCTCTTGCGTCCAGCACAGCACGCCCATACCATCTGTATTCATTTCCTACGGCTGCTGTAACACAGTACCACGACTTAATACAAAATGTATTATCTTCCATCTGTAGGTCAGAAGTCTGAAAGGGAGGTTAGAGAGCTAAAATCGAGGTGTTAGCAGGGCTGCATTCCAGGTGGAGGTTCCAGGACCGAATCCACCTTCTTGACTTTTCCTCCTTCTAGTGGCTGCCTGTGTTCCTTGGCTTGTGGCCACATCACTCCGACCTCTTGCTTGCTTCCATTGTCACATCTCCTTCTCTGACTGTGACCCTTTGCATCCCTTTTATAAAGACCCCTGTGATTGCATTAGATCCAATCAGATACTCCAGATAATCTCTGCATCTCCAGATCCTCTTTCACATCACGAAATCTCTTTGCCGTGTTAGTTAGCATGTACACACTTTCTGAGGGTTGTGATGTGGACAGTTTTGGGGGGCAACTATTCTGCCTACAATACCACCCTTGGCACTCAGGACAGCCCCTCACTCACTCACTGAACTCGTTACTATTGCCATGTCCACTTGCCACACCAGGTACAAACCTCATGAAAGCTTGTGTCCCATTGGAGTCTCCAAGGGACCACACCCATCCCTCAATAAACAGTATCCATTTTCTTCGCCTGGGTTTAGAGCAAGTAGGCAAATAAAAAGTACATATGGGCCCAATAATGGTAGAAGTTGGCCTGAAGGCGGGGTCATAGGTCTGTGTTATGGCCTAAACACGTCCCCCCAAACTCATATGTTAAACCCCTACCCCGCAATGTGATAATATTTGGAAATAGGACCCTTCAGAAGTAATTAGGCTTAGATATAGTCATCAGGATAAGGCCCTCAAGATGTGATTAGTGCCCTTACAGAAAAAGAGGACGAGATGATGGCTCTCCAAACCATGAGTACACAAGGAGGTCAGGTGAGCACACAGTGTCTATGAGCCAGGGGAAGAATTTTTAGAATATATCCTACCTTGCTAACACCTTGATTTTGGATCTCCTAGCCTCTAGCACTGTAAGAAATAGGTCCCTGTTGTTTGAGACATCCAGTCTGTGGTATTTTGTTATGGCAGCCAGAGCGGACTAAGACAGTCTTAGACGTGTAGGCCGTGTGTTCAGAACCTGGAATGAGGCCAATAGACTCAAGTGAAGGCAGTGCTCCTGGGTGCTAAGACCAGAACAGAGGACAATTAGGATCTTAGAAGTGTCCCCAAGAGGGAGGATGCAGTTGAGCCAAACATTTCCAGAGGCAGAGACAGGCAGAAGCATCTTCATAGAAAACACCTTTTCATGGAAACTATGAAAGGCATTCCTCTCAATTATCATTTATAACTACCAAATTATGCATGTTTCCATTCTTTCATCCATTCATTTAGCAAACATTGACTCACCCTCTATATTTTGTCAGCCTTCTACAGCTGTGTAAGAAATTACCATAAACTGAGCATCATAAAACAGCCCAAATTCATTACCGCACAGTTTGTAGATTGGAAGTCTGGACGTGGTGCAACTGGATTTTCTGCTCAGGGTCTCACTGGGCGAAATCAAGATGTCAGCCAGGGGTGCCGTCCTGGTCTGGGTGGCAGGGTCTGTGGTTACTGGCAGAATGAATTCAGTTCCTTGTGGTTGTACGACAGTGGTCCCCTCTACCTTGTCAACTGTCTGCCAGGGACTGCTCTCAGCTTCTAGAGCTGCTCTTTGTTGCAGCCCCCCCAGTCCTTCCATGAAGGCCTCCCACATGATTGAGTCTGGCTTAGGTTGCCCCCCTCCCCCGCTGTGAGGGGTCTTACCCGTCATTGACTTCTGACCAAGCTTTGGGGGCAGGGAGAGAAAACTGAGGCAGGGTTTGCTACCAGAGACAGGCTTTGTCTCCTGCGGCTGGCATTCCAAAGGTCGTCCCTCGCCCTTAGCCACAAGGGGTAGAGATACAATTCCTAGAACCAGGCAGAGTGGTCCACAACAGATTACAGGGCAATAAGTGCCCGTTCATGAGTAGAGCAATATTCTGAAGGACTTCAGAGAAGGCAGGATTCACTCTCTTGGAAAGGGTGGAGGAAGGCTCCCTGAAGGAAATTACATTTGATCTGAGTCTTGAAGCACAGAGGAGGGAGGGCATTTCAGGTACTGGGTACGTTTACAAACATGGGAAGGACCATAGCAAATTCAGGGAGTGGCAGGTAACGCAGCGACCCTGGAATATAGAGGACACGTTTAGAAGAGGCTGGGAGAGTGGCTGGAACCTGTTTGTGCAAAATGACCCGTGCATCCTGAAGAAATGGGAGGTGACGAGAGACTGTAAGCAGGGAAATGACAGAGCAAGATCTCTGTGTGTGTTTTCTTATTATCTACATCTGGCGTAAGCTCTGTATCCCAGGCCCTAGAACAGTGTGTGGGAAAAAGTAGACAATTTTTAAAATTTATGTAGGCACACATACACAGCAAAACATTCACAGTGATTTGGGGGGGGAGGGTGAGTGAAACTGAGTGATATCGATCTACCTTATATATTTATTTTTGCTTATGTATTCCTTCAACAAATATGTTTTATGTATGTGACCTTTTAGAATTGTCAACATGAATATTTATTGTTTTCACATAATAAATGATCATAGTAGCTGACGCTTACTGAGCACTCACAGTGGGTCAAGAACAAAGCTCAGTGCTTTACGTGAGTCATCTCAACATTCCTGGGAGGCAGGCATTACGTTACCCCCATTTAGTACTCAGAGATAAGGGTACTAAAGTTTGGAGAAGTTAAGTGAGTGCAAGAGCTGGAATTCAAACTCTGGTGCCTCTCTGCTCTAGCTTCCAAACGACCAGCTGGACTGACGTATACATAATGGCACATGTGAGGTTTGTCTGGGAAAAGTCCAGCCATTGTTAATAGGACAAGAACAGTTTGCACAGCATCGATGTAACCTGGCAGCCAAGGAGAGTGGACTGGAATGAACATGTGTGAACACTGATGACTTCACTGTACTAGTCAGGGGGGGTGGTAGACACTGCTGAGTGAGCATGTGTACAGTGTGGGCACTGCATTCGAGATGACTGAGGGAGTAGAGCAATGAATCCGCATCAGAGTTTGCATTAGGCTTGAACATTCTTCCCTGGAAACTATGATCCAGAAGGCCACGGCTATGGGAAACTGCTTATGGGCAGCTTTATTACAACAGCGCACCCACTCACATACCACGTCTCCTGCAGAGTTTTTCGGCGAAACATAAAATCACTCAGGTGACTCAGGCACCCTACAGCCCAGATTTGGTATCCTATGATTTCTGGCTTTTCCCAAGACTAAAGTCACCTTTGAAAGGGAAGAGATTTCAGACTGTTGCTCAGATTTAAGAAAACACAATGGGGCAGCCGATGGTGATTGAGAAAACTGTGTGAGGTCCCAAGGTGCCTACTTTGAAGGGGACTGAGGTGTCATTGTCCTGTGTACAACGTTTTTTGTATCTTGTATCTTCTTCAATAAATCTCTCTATTTTTCATATTATATGGCTGGACAGACCTTGTACATATAAGTTCACTACAAAGAATAAGGAGGCACATTCACTCATGTCACATTGGAGACTCACAAAATCTCCTGAAGGAAGCCAACAGACATTATTATCCCTGCTTTAAAGACAGATTCGTGGGTTCATTGACCACATCTTGCCATCTGTCTCCTGTCGCACCTTCGTAACAGGAGCATCCTGTCCCTTTCCCACAGTCCTTGGCTGGACAGATCCTTCTTAGGTCTTCTGTGCAATGACTGAAGGCACTCTCTGTTTCTCTCTGACAGGCTTGAGTCTTTGTCATTTACAAGCAAATCTGTAGGGGATTCATCTAAGCCAGACGTTGGGAGACCTGGGTTGGTCCAGTGTTGGCACTGCCACGAACTGACAGCCTCAGTGTCCCCATCTGTAAAATGAGCTACTTGACATAACAGATGGCTAAGGGCCAGTGCAGTGCTCCTGCTTCTCATGCTGGGAATGCAGGCAAGGCTGACGGCCTACACGTTGCCTCACCAAACACGAAGTCCTTGTTCCATAAATACAAAATCCTTGACCCCAGGAAATGCGGCTCTAAGCTAAAATCTTCCTAGGGAAACAGAAGGTGTATATACACTTGAACAGCGTTATCTCCCTTTTGCTGGAAGAGCCCTAACAGGAAAGGCACTTCATTCATTCGCTCACCCTCATTCACCCGGCAACCACTCAGTGTGCACCTCTGACACACCAGGCAGGTTGAGCATGTGTGTAGCAGTAAACGACACAGACTGCCTGCCCACGGGAGCCTGATGTAATAGTGGGGAGACAAGCACATAAATTGAGATATGTTTACAGACAGTTTATGATTGTAAAAAAGACCTTGTTGGATGATCATTCTCCAGGGTTCCATAAAAAGGAGGGTCAGTGTCTGAGAGTGAGCATGTTTAGTCCCCTTTTGGTATGATAGCAAATGGTGGGAAATGATCATGGAAATAGCACTGGCCTTGAAGTTACAAGACTTGGGTTTAAATCGTGGATCCGAGTGTAGTCTGTGAAACTGAAGTCCTTACTAGAACTTTTATAAGCTTCATACACCTCCTCTGTATAATGGGAATAATAGTACTCATCCTGGCCCTGGCTGGTATAGCTCAGTGGATTGAGCGTGGGTCTGCAAACCAAAGGGCTGCTGGTTCGATTCCCAGTTAGGGCACGTGCCTGGGTTGCAGGCCACGTCCCCAATAGGTGGCGTTGGAGAGGCAACCACATATTGATGTTTCTCTCTTTCTTCCTCTCTACCCCTCTCTCTAAAAATAAATAAATAAAACCTTTAAAAAAATAGTACTCATTCTCTTTGCCTTTCGGGATAATGCAAGGATCAGACAAGAGCAGGAAATCAAATAAGTAATAAACTCTGAGCTTTCCCCATTCTGTACATGTTCAGTTCTACACTCCAAGACAGTTCCAGCTGCTGCTAAGTCGAGCTCCTGCTATAAACTTAAAAGCATCAAGTCCTAGCTCTGGCCCTACCAAGGTCAAGGGACTTCATCTCAGGGCGTGAGGCATTTTATATCAAACCGCAGGGTGGGGAGATGCAGACATGGAAGGAAACAACATGTCTCGCATGTTTCCTTTTAACCCTCCCACTCGTAGGTGTTTGGTACAGAGATCTGAGGGCGCCCAAAGGTCACACTCTGTCTTACCTTATTATTAGTGGTGTTGGTTCGTGCTACAGTTTGTAAATCGGTATTTAACAGTTGTCATTTCTTTTAAGTCTTATGATGGAAAGATAAAATAAATGAACATGTGAAAGGATATATACCAAACTTATCACCAGTAGCTGAGTGGATTGCTGATAACTGGTTTCCTTTTCTTGCTTGTTTCTCTGTATTTTGTGTTTTCTTTTATCTTTTTTTTTTTTTTGCATTCATTTAAAAAGTATTTATCTAGGATGCACGTGCTAGTATCAGGCAGGTGGGAGGGGTGACCCTGCAATTTGCATGTCACTCCCAAATCGATGCTGTACCCACCACAACGCTTTCAGTTTACAAGCCAGGGTGGGTTTGCTGCCATTACAGGAGGACTCCTCCGAGGAGGAGTTTCTGGTTTTGTTTTCATTTCTTCTACTCCTGCCATTTCTAAATTGTCAACACTCCCCAGCCAGGCCTCATTCTCACCAAATTATAAATAGAAGCTGCTCTTTCCTTCCCAGGCCTCTATAAAGCACCATGATGGACTCGTGGCCGTAGCTGGTTCTGAAGTCACCAAAGATTTGAAACCAGGTTCTACTATTTTTGGCTGAGTGACTTCGGAGAAGTTTCTTAACATCGAGGAACTGCAGTTTTGTCACCTGTAAAATGGGTAGAAACAATACCCAGAGGGTAGGCAGTTTAAGGATTTCACAAGGTAACACATCTGAGGGGCTGGCACCGTGCCCAGCACCTGGTAGAGACTTGAAACACGATCATTGTTCATAAAAGTAGTCTCGGGAACCACCAGAGGCTGTTCTAGGCCACAGCTCAGGTTGTCAGCAAAAGGTGGAATTCCCAGTCAGTAAGAACCCTGGCCCTGGGCTCCAGTGGATCCAGTTTCAATCCTTGTCTCCTCCACTTGCCTTGAGCAAGTGACTATATTTCTCTGAGCCTTGGTTCCCTTGTCTGCAAAACAGGCCTAATGATACAGCAGATACAAAGAGTGGTTTTTCAAAAAGTCACCTGGCACCCTGGGAAGCCCCGAGACTCTTCCAGAGAGTCCTTAATGTCAAAAACAAAAACAAAACTGTTTTCATAAGGGTGCTAAAATGTCACCAGCCTTTTCACTCCCATCTTCTCACAAGTACACTACAGTTTCCCAGAGGCCACGTGACGTGTAATAGTGGTGCCGCTGCTCTAACGGCCACTGGAGTGTGTGTGCGTAGATTCCTATGTTT